GTAATCCCAAAGAACCTGCAGCATCCGATATGTGTTTTAGTGGACCCCAATGAGGAGTTTTCCGATCCGCAGGCTGACCACGGGGCGCGCATTTAACTCGCCGCAAATTGTAACGAAAAATGACAGTGTCGCTTCTATTTCATTTTTTGCTAAAAAGAAACCACACGACCATTTATCCGGGGAGGTAATCCAACACTTTCTGCAAGCCAGGAATCACATGATGCTTCTCTACACGCGTGTGGGCCCACACTGTTTCATCAAAATTTGAGCGTAGTGCATACTAAGTGAGGCGCGATGAACAGACATGTGTAGTACGTGGACTTTGCGATGACCAATCTAACTGATTTCTTTTTCACATATGCACAGGACACACAATATTTTCAAAAAATAATAAATCTAAGGGAATTTCAGATTAGACGAGGCCTTAGACAATGAGACTTACTGTCTTGTATGCTATTTAACATAACATTAGAGAGAGTTATAAGAAACATGCATATTAAACCCAGAGGAACAATAGCAGAATACTTTCTAAGGGAAACTCAAGACCCACAACCAATAGGTACTCTCTACAAGCAACGCCTTTAGTATCCTGCATATGCTGATGACATAGCGCTGTTAGTGAAAAGTAGCAAAGACATATCAAAAGCCTTTACCGAATTATAAGACGCTTCTCTACAAGCAGGGCCGGAAGTCCACAACCAAAAATCATGATTATGTCAAGAGAAGAACAGACAGTAAAACCATTAAAACTATGCCACACTTTTGAAAAAGTAAATCAATTCAAATACACAGGATCCTTTTTACTAACTTTAAAAAAAACTTACTAGCAGAAATAAAAGAAAGAATATCGGGCCGGAAAGAGACCATACGTCAGCAATAAAAAAAATTAAAGTAAAAACATTCCAAGAAAAACAAAGAAAACTATTTATAAAGCTGTAATCAGACCATTTGTAACATATGGTCTGACAGGCCCGTTCTTAGGCATACGCTGACGACGCATCCGCGTAGGGCCCCGAACGTGAGGGGGCCCCCGTGAGGCGCCCTCGATCCCAAGGTTTTTTTTTTTTTTACTGTTACTGCAGCCGACTGTGTCAATCACGTTAACTTCCTCTTCCTGAAATTTATCATTTTGAGTTGAATTCAGAGTGGGATGGGAAAGGGGAAACCTTGATGGAGGCAGAATGGAGGTTCCGCAGTGGTGGGTGGTGTTTTCTCCTCAGCTCGAGGGAGCTCCCCCCCCGGACCCCCCCCCCCCTTACGTGGCCCCCAACCTACGCTCCATGCTAAGGGCCCCCAAACTCCTAAGAACGGCTCTGGGTCTGATTACAGCTTTATAAACTTTGACCCAAACAAAAACGGCTGAAACCTTTTCAACACATGGGAGAGATTAATTCTTCGGAAAATATAAGGACCAACAAAGGATGAACATGGATGGAGAATACGAACCAACCAGGAATTGTTTGGACTATATCAGGATCCCACGCTAGTATCAAAAATAAAAAAAGGGCAGGCTACGCGGGGCTGGACATTCATAAAGAATGCCAAATGACAGAAACGTGAAGATGAATGCATCATCAAAAACCACAGATGAAAACGGGCTTTTTTAAGGCAGACCTATGAAAAAAGATCTACCTTAGTTGGGAATCCAAGCATGGAAAAGAAAAGCCCCAGTTAGATCTGAGTGGAAGGATGTAGTGAGGCAGTCAAAAGCCCTCCGTGGGTAGTAGCGCCACAGAGATGGATGAAAAGTTAAATTATAATTGATTGTTAGGTAGAGGGGACTTTTCATAAAAGAGAATAATATTGTGTGATTGATTTATATATTTTCCAATTCAAGAGTATATTGTCTCCTTACAATAGAAAATTCGGGATGGTGAAAAAACAAATTTCAGACACTTGAGTGATTGATGAAGCAGCGAAGAGCTAATTCAATTTTTAACAACCATTATTTGGAGATGAAGGCAAAGTTAAAGAACTCGCTCCAAAAATGTTGGCGTTATCTTGCCTAAGGGAAAATTGTCAGCTAAGTTTGCTGTTGGAGTTTTAACTGCGTGGTTTTAGACTGAAAAAAAACACACAAAAAAACGACTTTTCTGAATGTTAAAGTAATACGGGCTTTTCTGATTGTGTTTAAATCATGATTTAAACAAAAAAAGAGAATTTATTCCTGCTAAAAGACTTGGACAAAGCTTGACGGAGCCAAATCTTATTCAGGATGATGTGCTTTGTATTCAGGATGATGTGCTTTGTATTCAGGATGATGTGCTTTGCATTCAGGATGATGTACTTTGCATTCAGGATGATGTACTTTGCATTCAGGATGATGTACTTTTTATTCAGGATGATGTGCTTTGTATTCAGGATGTTGTACTTTGCATTCAGGATGATGTACTTTGCATTCAGGATGATGTGCTTTGCATTCAGGCTGATGTGCTTTGCATTCAGGATGATGTGCTTTGTATTCAGGATGATGTACTTTGTATTCAGGATGATGTACTTTGTATTCAGGATGATGCACTTTGCATTGAGAATGATGTGCTTTGTATTCAGGCTGATGCACTTTTGTACATTTCTGGCGATGGTGTACGAGGATTTAATTTTTATATTATAGAAATGCGTGAATCTCCGAAAGAGAGACACACCAAACTTTCCAGACGCTCAAGTTTCCTGCTCTGTTGACGGAATACCTTTCCAAAGCCGCGTCACGTGGTTGCCATAGTTGCCACCTCAAAAGAATAATAACATCTTTATCCGAACTGTTCTTCCACCAATTTTTCCCTCGCGGTCACCGTTCACGTTCATAAACGGGTGAGTGAAAATTTTGCTCAGCTGTGGTCTCCCATGGAGAGACCTATTTTCAACACCTGCCCAACATGTAATAGTCTTCACTTATTCTATGATCGCGTGGTAGCTGGAGGCATGACCAATTATTACAAATGCAAGTGCGCATTCAATGTGTGGGAGTTTAAGTCAGTAGGCTACTTCTAATTCTGGCGCATGCTGTTTATTAGGGGTCGTCCATTAATTATGTCAACCGTTTTTAAACAATTTTTGACCCCTTGTCAGCAACTGTCGAACTTTCAATGACCCCCACCCTATTTAATTATGTCAACATTTTCTTTAAAAAAAAATATTAAAAAATTAAAATTATATTATAAATGAATGTATAAATACATTTTACTTTGTGCTGATCTATTTTAATGAACACAATTGTAGGAACAAATATTTTATTACATCTTTAACTTGTTAATCAACAAGTTAAAAAGTTTTACTCTTAAATTTTATGATGCAAAAGTTGTTAAAGTTTAAATATTGTTTTTGGTACCGGTATAAACCATGATTATTGTCAATAAAGCTGGCAATTACCGGGTATAGCATAGTCTCTAGCTTCTATCATCTTCCCAAGGAGTAGCCAGGTTTGCTCTATTGTTACAATGGGCATCAGGGACATCATTTGAGTAGGGTGGCATTTTCCCCAACCCCCTATTTTGCAGGTTTTATTTAAATTGCTATGTACTATGGCGCCTCCAGTAATAAAAAACTTAACAAGCCAACCAAGTTTTGGTTTTGCCCCCTCCCCCCCCCCCCCCCCTGGTGGCATTTTCCCCAACCCCCTATTTTTCAGGTTTTATTTAAATTGCTATGTACTATGGCGCCTCCCGTAATAAAAAACTTAACAAGCCAACCAAGTTTTGGTTTTGCCCCCCCCCCCCCCCCCCTGAAAAAAATGAAATGACGCCCCTGGTATCTGATTTATCTTTTTATCTTGCAGCTATTCGGTGTGAGCAAAAATTCTCCTTGCAGCTACTCGCATTGGTCCTTTTTGTATCCTTTTTTTTTTGTAGTTGTTGAGGAGCAGGTGCTAATTTATTATGCTCAAGAGGGCATTGTCGGTGTTGTTAAAAATGCCTTTTCAACATGACTTTTAACATTTTTCTTTTCATATTTGATGGCCCACGATCATTTTGGCCCCTGGTTTGAATTCAGAGTTAGCCTTCTCTTAAATGAGTTGCCTTCCAATAGTAACGGGTTACATCCACCAGGGGATTGAACTGCAGACCACCATTTGGAGTGAATCAGTTTAGACCACTCGGCCACCCAGCACCCTTGTGATGCAAAATAGTTGTTACAGATTTTGCAAATCCTTTCAAGCAGCGATGTTATCACTGTTACTCACTTTACATTCACCTAACTCTCAATATATCGTATTGCTACACTATCAATATCATTTATCTTGACTGAACTTGAAACTTGTCCTTGTTCCATACCTCCAACAGAATCTACAGTTGAAGAGAAGCCAACTTTTGACTGCAACAGAATCTACAGTTGAAGAGAAGCCAACTTTTACTTCTCTTGCGCTAACAAAGTGTGTCAACATTCTGACCAGCAGATGGCAGTGCACAGACACACATTAAATAAATCTTATATTGTTAAAAGCCTAAAAATTATATGAATATTTACACTCATTTTCACTTATAATTTTTTTTAAAAATAATGTAATAACCAGTCAATTTTTTAGATTAAGATTTTAATAGAGAAAACATAATTGTTGACGTCAACTAATATAAATCCCCTCCCTCTCCCTTTTAGTTGACATAATTAATGGACGCCCCCATGGGATGTCGACCAGAAAATTTTGAGAACCACTGGTTTAAACCATAAATAAAATAATATTAATTTATAATAAAAATTATAGTTTAAAAAAAACCCAGAAATTAGTTAAAAATAAATGAATGTAATGTTAATTAAAAATATACTACTACCAAATTTTAAATATCATTTTTGTCTTTTCATAAAAAGTATGTTTATTTTTTAAGACTTATAAGACATTGATTAATAAATTTTATAAAATTTTAACTGAACCTGTATCATTTTTGTTTAGTTTTTAAAATATGCAGGCTATTTTTCTCTTACCTTTGTGAGCTCTTTGATATGCCAGTTAAAGATGTAAATGTTATAATCTATTTAACTTTTAAGTAATACTTTTACATGTTAAATAAGTGTTCAAATAAAAGATTAACTTTTAAGCAATAAAATATTATTTAATTATTAGTTATTACAGTCGTGAAAAAGTGTAGAGATTTAAAAAGTTACATAAATAAATTTGAGAAAGTGGTTTCTTGCGTTGAGGACTGGAGACTGGTTTCGTCGGTTTCTTGGGGGTAACAATATGGCGGAAGAAGAAATTGATCTCGATAGTTGGGAAGAACAGGCTGATAGCGGCGTAAGTAAACAATTTAAATACTGAATTAGGTTTTTACAGTAGGGAAGTGCGAAAATAAATATTTTTCCAGGAAATAGCTCTATATGAAATGTGTACTTCTAAACATTTCAATTATCAGATAGATAGGCAAAATAATGATCAAACTATTTGTTAGCCCCCTAGCCCTAACTCCCGAGTTACCTGATTAAAATTGAAAGTAGACCGAACTCCAACTTAGTAACTAAGTAAAATACTAAATAATTAAGACATTAGATAGTCCTTGGCCTAATGAATTTAGTAAGACTATATAGGAGAGTAGCATAACTTTGTTCAACTGAAAAGATTTGACTGGTGACATCAGTATCATCATCAGTCAGTCATCTCTGGACAAATCATCAGTGATGTCTTCTGCCTGTGTCAGTGTCAGCGTTAAGTGTGTATAGTCAAAGACACTCAAATATTATTTGCTCAGTTAGTGTATGTGTTCATAGTAGGTTAACGTCTTAGTAAGCCTAGACCTAATTAATTAGACTTACCTTTTTTTATTTTAACAAAGAAGACACACAAAATTAAGTCACTGACTGACTCACTGGATTGTTTCATCATTCATGAATCATAGAATATAATTATTAGGCACTTGGGTATGGCCTGGAAACACCGGAAAATCGAGTATGGTAATTTGGATGTCAAATGGTAACCTCCACTTATTAATTGGGAAGCATTATACGCAGTCGACTGCGTACAACCCTGAGGGTTATTCCCAGCCGACTGCGTACAACTCTCAGGGTTATACGCAGTCGGCTGGGAATTTAGCCAAATAAGGTTTATTATCGCTAGTTTGGCAATTTAAAAAAAAGTGTTATGCGTAATTTAGCTGCATTATGGGTTGTTTTGAACTATAACTTTTGATGTGTTTACCGTAAAATTTTAATTGAATTAAATTTAATTAATATTGAATGATAGTAATAGAATTAGTATTAGTGCTATTATTAGTATTATTGCTTATATCTTATATATTATAAGTCTAAGTCAAAGTCTACATTTCTTAGAGTCTAAGTCGTCTACATTTCTTAGAGTCTAAGCCTAAGCCTTACTAAGAAGATTATTTTTTAAAAGGCATTTCCATGGTCTAAAAGTCTAGTTCTGTATTCTGATTGATTAGGTTTTTATATGTTGCTATGACTATGTCATGTGGTTGGTTTTACTGACTCATTCAGGAAATACATTCTATTTATTTTTTTAATTATATCATTTATGATTTTTTTTTTGGTGACCTAAATGTAACAGTTTTCGGCTTCCATGCAAAACTATAACTGTGTGGAAGTATTACTTACAGTGCCCCCTCTACAGAACCCCCTGCCCCTACAGCTATTTTTTACTGTTACTGTTACTCTCCACCCCTGATTATAATTACTGTAGCAGAGAAACATTATTTTATCTGCCACAAAATTAGTTCACAACACAAAATATATATTTGATAATTATAAGAATAACATTATTATCATTACATTGGTCAAGTGCATGTTTTAACATTTTTTAGCCAAAACAAAATAAAACAAGCCTAGCTGTTTTTGCTTCATTCTTGAGAACAAACATAACAACATAGTCATTTATGGCTGGCCTTTGGCTGGAATTGAACACAAGTCCACCAACTTGAGGTTTGCTCAGTTTATACCATTCGACCACCCAGTCACCCTGATGGCGTCGCACCTTTATCGATCGATACTGTAACACAGGAAGAATTATAGACCTCACGTGACTTGCCGACTGAGTATAACTCCCAGGGTTATACGCAGTCGGCTGCGCATAACCACTTCGTATTAATTTACAGAGGGTATCTTTGTTTACCTTTTATAGTCTATTTTTACCATACTAATAAATTCTACATACTTAACATACACCATACACATCTGACATCTTGTTTTTTCTATAGTCTATAGAGAATTCATTCGATTTTTTTTTTAGGTTGAAGCTTTGAAAATTGAAGTAAAAATAGGTTAACTTTACTGATCAATAACTTTAAAAAAAAAAAAACAACTGGTCAAATAATAAAAGGTTTTTTTATTTTATATGTTTTTTTTCTATAGTATATAGAGAATTCATTCGATTTTTTTTTTAGGTGGAAGCTTTGAAAATTGAAGTAAAAATAGGTTAACTTTACTGATCAATAACTTTAAAAAAAAAAAAACAACTGGTCAAATAAGAAAAGGTGTCTTTAGTTTATATGTCATTTATAACATATTCAAAATTTATGAGTGTAGACCTTAGGCTTAGGCTGGGATCTGAAACGAAAATCAAAGAGGTTAATTTTTTAGGCTATGTAATTTGTCATCAAGGCGACCATGCTTGTCTACATATTATTATCTTTAGTGGCCGTGGGGTAGTTAATAATTCATTAAATATTAAATCATTTTAAAGAAACAAAAAAAATTTTATAACCTAAATAATTATTATTGGTTTATCAAACAGCAGTGGTTTTAATTTTGGGGTTGGTTGCCATGGACATGAGATTGATAACCACTTGTCTTTGGCTTAGATAGGCCCATTAAAAGTATAATAATAGTAATAATTCTATACTGTACTGTACTAAATGATTTAAGGATTGGGATACATAGCCTTTATTAAAACTTATAGATATATGCTAAAAAATTTTTATTTACGGATTTTAACCCCAAAATCATGCTCCCAAAGCACTTTAATTCCATTTAGAAGTTAGCTGTTAAGATAGCTTAATGTATTACCCTTAAACAAAAAATAAATGGTTGACGTAAATCAATTTTTAAACTGATTTCTTGTCTGTTTAAACCCCCCCCCCCCCCCCATGAGCCCTATCCCCCATGCATTTTTATTACCGATTTTACACTTTAACCCTTTGAACCCGCGATCCCGCCTTATCCCTCTGTGCATTAAAAATCCGCACCCCACCAGACCGATATTTCGGTCACCCATACCTTACCAGTCCGTATATAAAATGTGTTGTGAATACTGAGTTCAGGGTTTATCATGTGACTTGCGAAAAGTCATAGTAATGGCTGCGCCCATGAATGCATTATTTTTGTTATGTTTTAGTAGTGTTTTTCAATGTATAGCGGTGACGACAATACAATAATTGCTATTCTAAAGGACTTAAACTAGGGTAGTTTTATGACAATGTGAACGATTCAAAGGATTATTATTGTGTTTTGAAAAAGGATTGAAATAAAGCAAATAGACAATGATAGTGATGATTGATTGACTTCAACTTCTAGTGCTATGAATGTGTGCTATGGGAATATAAGGAGCAAGTGCTGGTACCAAACTGTGGTATCAGAATAATACAAGGGAAAGTTCTGTCAATGTTCTATAAATAGAGAAACGTACTAATAGTGTTTAACCTCTTATAAAATGTCATGTCAATCTTACCTCACCTTGCTGTGCACAACAGTTGATATTGCACTGTAAAATATAGTAACCAGTGTTTTAAAACCAATAACCCATTTGCCGAATCTAAAAGCAGTATGGACATCTCTAGACATTTTAGTGTTGCATTAATAGTTATTGAACTCATTGTTCTTCTGGTTTTTAAATTCTGTTTCCAATTTATAAAATATTCTTACCCATGTTCAGGGCAGGGGGTTGGCTTGACTGTAAATGCAACCAAATACCAAATTTTTGAAATTGCATTGCTCAAAGATACAGCGATTATGATTATGCATGAAATTAACAATATGATTAATGTGTAAGTAATAAGCTGAATGAGAGACATATTACAGCACCAGCCCATTATTTTTGTAATCATTGATACTGATCCAAGGCAACTATAAATCATTGTCTTGAAGGTTAGTTGTGAATTGGCCTCATATATAAAACGGTCAGTTTTTACATATGCTCCAAAATGAGATTACAGTAGTTCATTCTATCCCTGTGGTACTACAGCCGCCCATGTAGGGCTTTGGCCTGCCTCACCACATCCTTTCACTCAGACCTAACTGATGCTTTTCTTTTCCATGTTTGGATTCTCATCTAATGCAGATCCCTTTCCACATCATTCATCCATCTAAGCCTAGGTCTGCCTTTGAGCCATTCTGCACTCCTCTTCACTAAATTTGAATGAATTACAACTATGTTAACAGAGCTTATTGGTTTGTTTTAATAACATTTTAAAATGTGTCCTCCAGGTACTAGACAAAAGACTAGAAGAAATGTCTATTGATATACAAGCGAAAGAAAACGACAAAAGGAAACAGTAAGTAATTTTTATAGCATGACTCTCTTTGCTGGGATTTTTCTCATTTGCATGTATGAAGTTACAAACAAAGCAGTTAATTTATGTTTCAATAGCTTTGGTGTATGATTGATATTTGTCTTCTTTGCCTTGATCTCTTTTTATAATTGGTATTTTTTTCTTTCCACAGGGCTCAAAGTATTCACTCAACTGCAAGCCCATTACTTATTGACGATAGTGGGAAAACCCAGTACCAGCCTCAAGTTAGAATTTTGCGTAGGGAACCCAAGACTCCGTCCAGTCCCCAAAAGAATCATAGGGATAATTCAGGGTAATTTTTTTTACACTTTTAAATGCTCGAGAAGAGTAAATAGATTATTATATAGTTATTAAGTGATTAAAAAATTTGTTAAATGTTATCACTTAACTTAAAAAACTCAAGTGAAAAGCTAATAATATCCACATAACTTTGAGAAAATTATTTACATCTCTCAGGCTGACTAATGTTACAGCGTCTTCAAAACACAGTAAGTCTTTACAGCAGCGAGAGGCGGAGTATGCACAAGCCAGGCTTAGAATATTTGGCTCTCTTCCCCCAGAGGAAAATGATGAGAATGACGATGGCAATGGTACAGACAGTTTTACAGCAAAAGATGATGATTTGAATATAGAAAAACAAAGGTGAGATCTGCTGTTAACTTTCATAAGGAATTTTTGGATTAAATGGGTCATTTAAGTTGAAATTAGTTGAATTTTGAATATTTGCTTGTTGAACAAAAAGAGTAGATCAACACAGAACTCATTGTTTGGTTATCACTTACATATTAATTACTTTAATTGTAACAACACTTGATGTTTCTTAAGTAATGAGAATAAAAGTTGCATTTAAGAAATGTCACAGACAGTCTTACCATCTGTCAACGAAAACCTAGAATTTTGCATTTTCAATTCCCTTTGTCAGACAAGGATTAAAAACTTTAATGCTCTCTTTCTGCAGCTCTCCTCAAATAATTAAACCCGACCCTTCGTCGCCGAGGGTGTCTATAGTGCGGCAACCAAAAGGGCCAGATGGTACAAGTGGTTTTAAAAAATCAGACCCAACCTAGTTAAGGTTCAGGCATACCTTTTTTTAAAATTTTAAATATGTATATTTGATGTTTCTGTTTTAAAATACCTGAATCTATTTATAGCTTGCATGACAGCAGATGGGCAATGTTTCTGATGTCGCGCCACCTTCCCACCCCCTCTGTATATTTGGAATCTGATATGACAAGTATTGTGTTTGGTTGACTTTGTGCTAAAGAAAAAAATAGCATGGATATTAGATGGCTACTGGAAGGCTTCACCAGAATTGATAATTTCATCTATGTTTGTTACCCTGGTTAAATGTTTTGTAAATAAAGGATCTTTTAGACCTCAACCTATTTTTAATATTCTGAACCCCCTATGAATTGTTTGAATAAGTTTTTCTTCCACTTAAATTTATAGATTTAACAATGCATTTTAATATTGGAGAGAGAGAAAAAAAAGGACTTTTAATTGAACTGACATAGAAAGTAAACTTGTGGCTTATTGTTATATAAAGTAAAATCAAGGAATAAAAAGAATAAAAATAAAAAATTATATCATATCTTAATCATCAATGACTCCCCTGATCTTATAATCACATTTTATTGCATTGCCTTCAATGCTTTCTTGAGCTCACCAGATCGGGGAGACCCTGTTGTAGAGGAAACTTGTCGTGGGATGACAATTTATTTTCATTTCGAGATATTTCCATTAAAAGAAGAAAAAACTGCTTCTAATTTCATATAGGTTCGTTATACCCATCATATTTTTTATATTTTATTTTGAATATGTCAGGATTGAAGAACCAAATGTATAAAATAAAGAATAATTGTTTCCCCAACTGGTTAACAATGTTAGAAAACAAATTTTACTATAAATTTTTTAAATTTAAAACTGGGAATTTTTAAATACTTTTAGTTGTGTTCATTATCATGATTTTTGTTATCCTAAGCTGAAACTTTTGATATCTTTCAAACAAGTGTTATAATACAGCACATGAGATGGTCTGACGATGTCTGTATTATTATCTTGGATCGTTTCAACACTTTAGACAAAGCTTCTTAAGGATTCTCCCATAAATATTCATTTTAAGGAATGATGGAGAACAAAGACAGACGGTGTTATTTATTTAGAAAAAATTAAATAACTTTTATAGCGCTCTTGATTTTCGAGGAAGAATTGTCCGGCTGTAGATATTTCCTGTGTGTTATACTAAAAAATTAACTATTCAATGCTGTCAATCGGTATAATTCAGCCAGTCTGGTAACACTAAAAAGCATTTTGAAAATGTTAATGCATGTATAAAAATATATTTTTTTCCATAAATTTTCTTTTAATTTCCGTAAAATTTTCTCATAAGGAAAATACAAGCTATGGTTACATATGCTTTGCTTTCATTGGTTTTTTTTAAGGACTTCATTCGTTTTTTAAATAATGTTTTCACTCTTGTCATTTCCTATTTTGAAAATGTTGAAAGCCAAAAATCTAACATGTTTTTCTATTATGAGCCCAATTTATTATATTATTCTGATTGTAGATCAATAACTTCGATAGTTAAAAAACAGGCTGACAAAGTCAGTTATATCTCTTGATCCAAATGTTGTCTTACAAAGTTATTTACAACTACTTTATAGTCAGGGACAACCCGGACGAAAGTATTGTTGACATGTCATTGCAATAAGATGTGTGAACCTGTGCTGTGTTTTTTTAAGACTGTGCTGAGTATCATAATTTTATTTTTTGTTTTGAACAAGTGAAGATAGGGAAAATATTTTTTTTAGAGGATTATTTAAAAAAAAAAATGTAATTCCTTTAGGCCTATTTTATTAAACCATTGAAACCAGACAATAGGGTGCATCTTGATTTAGAAAAAAAAATGTGTTCCACAGCCAAAACTCTCCTGTTTATCTGCTACAAAAGTTGGTGCAAGAATAAAAGTCTGAACTAAAACGCAGTAAAAGTATCATGGCAGTCGACTTTATTTTGGATAGCTGTCCCATCTCACACCTAAATGCCATCGCCTGTTTTCTGTCACACACCATAATGCATTTCCCCAACAGTTTATAGTCTCATTAATTGTATCTGGGTCACAGTGATACGGGTGAGTTTTAGTTGACATGTTTTCTTAATCTTCATGCTGAGCCATTTTGAAAGGAAAACAAATTTTCTGTGAATTGTTTAATCCCAATAACTAATGTACCCTGTAGATAAGAAATGAACCCAGTAATTGGTTCCCCTGCCAAGAAGAACTGATCCAAATCATTCTTGTCCCTGCCAAGAAGAATTGATCCCAATAATTCATGTCCCTGCAGACCAGTAAGTATTTGGGTTCTTAAGATGGCTAATGATATTTACCAATGATTGTTAACTCGTTGCCTTCGTGGTTCATATAAATTGGCTTTAGAATCTAGTTTGTTCTAACCTCAGTCTAGATGGTTCTTCCAGGAATATATTAGGTCTTTATTATTTCGTTCTCTGTTTGGTCTTTTTCTATGAATCATTTATTCAATGAATGAATTGTTTGCAAAAATACTAGTATTTTTTAGGGAAGAAGCACTTGCTGTGACCACTCCCTTTGCAAATAATACAATACTGTGTTTTACATTTTATTTCCATTGTATTTTTTATGGATACCAAACTCAAAGCAAATAAATTATTAGGATTGAGGTTATTGATAATTTTTCTGTTGACACCAATTTTTTTGTTTTTTCATGCACCGAAATTTGACTTGGTCCAAACCAAGAAAAGACGCCCATGTTGGCAAAAAAAAGTTGAATGATCTTTTCCCCAAAGAACTCCAAGTGCTCCATAAATGATATAATGTTATTGGCTTCTGCCTGTCTTTGCCATAATGTAGATTCTTTTTTTTACTGACACCCTAGCGAACGACTTAAGGGCCTGATCCTGTAGTGGCAGAACTCATCTCAAGAGAATCGTGAATGATTGGCTAACTTTGGCCTTTCTTTTGGCTCTTTTTTAAACTGTTGACCGTTACGTTCCCAGCATCCTCTATTTGACTCCCGTATTGACCACAGATCACCAGCCTTAACAGTCATCAGCGAAGTTATTTATATTAAAAAATATATTAAATGATTAAATAATTTTCTTTTTGTATAGTGTTATATGAGAAGTTATTAGATTGTTTGATTACATTGGTATAAGTATAATTTTTGGTGCTCATTGCCCTGTTCAAACAGTTAACATTCATGTTTTGAAAAATTATTCCCCCATGTTATAGCTCTCACCCACCCACCCACCCCCACCTTTTTGTATGTTGTCTTATCTGCTTTTTCCCACCTTAACTTGTCTGAATCAGCTTCCAGTATCTTAGCCTCCTGAACCTGTCCTTCTCCACCCTGCCTGCTCAAATGTGTGTGTGTGATATTTGGAGATGATCTGACTTGTAGCTGGTGATGCATGGTGAAGTCACTATAAATTCCTTGCTCATCATTATCAGTCATCTCAGAAGACCATAGTTACAGCTGTTGATAGGATAACTACTAAATTTTACTACATGCATAGAGATTTGTGCAATTTCTAGAGCTTTCATGATAGAAGCAACTTTTTTGTAACACATCTGTAAATCCCTCACATTATTTGCAATGCAATTAGAAAACATCTTTGGATAAAAAGAAACAGTTACTAAAAATCAATCTTCATTCAAGTAGGTTTTGTGTTTATATCTATGTGTGTAGTTTAAACCATATTTGGAATATATTGATCATCAACCGGTTGGGCCCGTTGGGAAGAAAAAATATTGCATCAGAGTTCATACAATTTCAGTCATTTCAACTATCTGATCATTTTTTTAATCTAGGAACATTTTGAAGACCACCAGTATTTTTAACATTAATATTCATAATGAATTTTTTTTTAAAAAGGGGCATTTAAATATGTTTTGATTTCTATCCCGAGTGACATTAAATAAACAAGAAATGTAGAGATTTTGATGACTCTTTTCAAGCTGTCACTTAACGACGCCGATGTTCGTTTAAAAGTAAAAAAGTTTGTTGCTCGTTGAGATTTAAATGGGTTGAGTATGTCACGTCTGAGTAGTCTGAAGAACACATGGGGCTCCTGACCAAGGGGACTGTTGCCAGTATTGAAAACATTTTGTACATTTTATAACTTCATTGCCATTGTGTTTTTTTTTAAACCCCATGATTGATTTTATTGGGGGGGGGGGTGTTTGTTCTCTGGCATATGCTGACTTGCTTTTATTTAGTGGCAAAGTGTGATATTGCAATATTCCCCCCTTCCCCCCACACATACACACTCACATTCTCCCTTTTATAAAAACTATAACAGATGCGGTTTTGTTTCTATTAATGAATGACTAAGGTGAGAAAAAAACAACATTGAAAATGAAATGTGTTTCTCTTATTGCAAAATGTATTTTTAACCAATGGAGTTATAACATTTTTAAAAAAAATGATTTTATTTGATTTAAGTACTTTTGGGCTTATAATTTTAAAGAGTTTCTATCTGAAGCTGCATTTCATTATAACTTATTGTATTTTCATATCAGACAGGGCTTGATTGAGTTTGAATTCATAAAAAAAAATCAATCTTAGATGCTTTAACAATCATAAATAATAGGATTACGGTACATTTTATTATTTTTATAAATGCTGAATAAACCAAATGTCCTTCCAGATTTTTTAAAGATTGTACATAAATTTACAGGTTAACCTTTAATTTGTAAGATGCCTGGATGTCAATGATACACACACACACACCACTATGTAAATGGTGGAGGAAAAGCTGAGGGAGATGGGGGGCTTTCTTCCATTTCTAAGTTGCATTCTACTTACTAAACATAGAAAGGGTCATTATTATTTTCTTTGTACCTTTTTTTTAAAAAAAAAAAAAGAAAGATATTCTTTTTGTTTTTTTGAAAATATATATATTTTTTTTTTCAATGAAGCTCCCAGAAAAAAGCGATAATTATTCAGTTTTCCAAAGCCATTTATATTTGCAACAGGCAAAATCAGATCCATTGATTTGTGTGCATCAACATTTTTAAATTGAAATAAGATGGGTGTTTTATTTTTATGCATTAACTTTATTCAATCAATTGATTTTTTAGTCAGTTAGTACTCTTTCCTAATTTTTAAAGCCGTTTCAAAAATTGTAAATATGACCTGCTTGTATTTATTTAATTTTAAAACAATTGTATTTCTTGACATACATTTATTGACCAGTTAGTTCCAGCCTGGTTAATAACACCACCCAATACCTTTAACTCAAAGGCTTGGCTGAATTTTGAATCTTATTTTTATGGTGATGTTATTAAGTTCTACTTTGTGAAAACATTTGAATAGTTGGCCAATGGAGCATAGTTTCTTGGCAGTGGTGAAACTTGAGCGCTCCGCTAATCGTGGTTAAAAAAAAATCCTTTGGACCTAAAGTTAAGCAGTTCCATACAGCACTTGAGGGCCAAAACTTCTAGAGTGGGTCTCACTGGAGGAATGCAGTTTAAAAGGCAGTGTCTGTACAAATGTGTTGTTCAAAATACTTACCTAAATAAATGTGTGTTAACAATGAAATAAGATAAAAATGTTTTAGCAATAATGGTGGAATGAGTGTGAATGTAATTTATGATTTTAGGGCCCTCCAAATTCCAGCAATTTACACTTTTAGAAGTGCTGGTGAATGTAGCTATGATTTGAGGAGGTGATGTGGTCTCTCTCTCTCTGTTTTTTTTTTTTCCCTTTTGTGTCATTACAATTGTGGATAATGGACTTTGTGGGGTCCTGAAATTTGACAAAGAGTAAAAGTGGTTTTTAATTCTGTGAGAGCTGCTTCTTGTAGTGAAACATTGATTTAATGCAATTTACACTTTTAGAAGTGCTGGTGAATGTAGCTATGATTTGAGGAGGTGATGTGGTCTCTCTCTCTCTGTTTTTTTTTTTTCCCTTTTGTGTCATTACAATTGTGGATAATGGACTTTGGGGGGTCCTGAAATTTGACAAAGAGTAAAAGTGGTTTTTAATTCTGTGAGAGCTGCTCATTGTAGTGAAACATTGATTTAACATGAAGGTCAGACCAGTCATTTCATAATCAATGTTTTTCAGTGGGGAAAAATAATGGTTAAATAATTTTAAAAAAAAAAATGAATACACTTCAATGCGATGAAAAATGTTAATACTGTTTTCAGAAAATTTGAATTATGTTTTAGTACCGGTAATCAGTTGGGACATAGGTCTTGGTCATTATATAACATTTTGGATTATATTCTCACCAGAATTGGCATATCTTAATAAGTCTTTATTTTATTTTTTGAAACATTGAACATTAAAAATAATATATATGTACATTTTTACATATACTGTAAAAGAGGAAAGTTAACATTTAACACCCCCCCCCCCCCCACCACCACCACCACCACCAAGACTTGTATGACCATCAGTGTTTTACTACATTGCATTCAGCTTGTTTTGTCTATTAATAACCTCTTGCCTTGCTCTTTCAGATACATGTTGTAATAAAAATGATATATATATATATAAATAAATATACTTGAGGCTTTTAAAAAAATTCTAATTATTTTTCTGTTGTGTGTTTAAAACAATAGGCAAGTATGAACATAAAGAAGCTGACATGTTGAAGTTTATAAATACAAATATTAGGATGTCTTTCATGAAAAGAGGTCAAATTAAAAATAAACCTTAACTGGTACAGTGAATCGGTCTTAAAGTTTCTATTTGTTTTAACCCATTATGTGATCGGAATTATTATTTTGCTGTTGGATAAATCATTTCTTAATTTTGTTTTAAAGAAGTTACGATGGAGGTTCTCTTTAAGTAAAAGTTCAGTTAGCTAGCTTTCCCAGCATGCTAAATTATTTCTGAACAAGTCCAAGTTGATATCTAAAGTCTTTGCCCGTTTAGGCTGCATAGACTTTTATAGTTTAAAGTACCGGTAAGCGAAAAATCTTGAAATCACCCTGGGGCAATGCCATGATCAAGTTTCTGAAAGCAATTTAAAGTAAAGTTTTCTGTTGTTGGTCATCATTTAAATTTTTTTGCCTAAATTTACATTACCATGTATGTACACACAAATGTTTTTCAACACAACACATTAAAGGACACCTGAAATAAAACACTACCGGTAATTAAAATTTAGTCTTAAATTTCATAGATTTTTAAAAATGTCTTTCACAAGTTGTCAACTCAGTCAAGGGAAATCACATAGCACCCAACCTCAACCCTCCTATGGGACTCGTTAACCTTGGATAGAAACTAGTCTGAGAGAAGGCAAACTTTGAAATCGAACCCGGAGATGGAGTCCCATAGGCGTTATGATGTTCACATAATGAAAATTCTGAGAATTCCTGCGTCACGGAACGCACAAAGAGCACAGTGAGACGTTCTAGTCACCTACTACATCCTGCCTGGTCTATTTCCAGTCATCTTGACAAAGTCTTGCCATCGGCACAAATATGCAAAGATGAGAGAGAGTAAGGCTGATGAAATGGGCAACTCTCCCTCACTTGAAACAAAATAAAGCTTAAGTCAAGGCTACGACTACTACTCCAGGCGAAGCCTCTGTCATCTTCACTTGCTAAGGACAACTACAAAAAATATATCATGGCTTCAAGATCGTCATGTAAATTTATTTCAACATGTTAATTCAATATTTGTAAATTCATTAACTTGTCTTTAAAGTGGTCATATATACTCTCATCTATTTAATATTAAAAGTGTGGTAAGCTTTGATCTTTTCAAATAGCCTGTTACTGGTAGGCCTTCTCCTCTCCTCATGGTCATTTTTAACACTCATTTGTGTGAGGAGCCATTTTTGTCTTGATTCAAAGTTTTCATTTAATTTAAAAAATCAACAAGAAGTCAAAAAATGTTTTACATGTTGGCACACTTTATTATTTTTAGACAGAAATAACTTGAGAGAAAAAAAAAGAACTTCATACAAAACTGTAACCACTTTTCATATTTGCATTTACCTCTCTAAATGGTAAATGCAGGCCTTGTATGTTATCACTGAAAAACCTTTGGCAGTGGAACATTGTAATGAGCTCCAACTTTACAAGGTGAAATAATGGTCAAGCAGTTGGCATGCAAGATAACTACATGTTAAGGACTACTTTGAAAGGAAACTTATTTTTTTTTCCAAAAAGTCATTTTATAACAAATAAAATGTCTAATTGTAGTTTAAAAAATAAAAAAAGTAGAGAGTGTAAGAATAAAGATTCTAAAAATTATAAGACATGTTGAAAATACAGATTCA